ATTTTTGTTCAATAAAAATCTTTCAAATGCGACTGTAGCTTTTGTTTCCCCAAAACTTTGTCTTCAAGATAAGGGTGCATCTTATATTCTGAAAAAAATGGTATGTACAGTAATTCAGTCATTAAAATATGCTTAAGTCTAAATAAAAACTTTTTTAGACATAACCTGTGGGTTAAGCTAGTGCATTTTAAAACTCATAGAAAGAGGATATGATGCCACAGATATTGTCCATTTAAAATGTATAATGGAACCAGCTGGAACTTCTACTATCTAACAAATGGAATATACATCACTGAATACCCGAGAGATGTATTAAATAAATCCCTTTATTTTTTATAAAAAGTTTTTATCTAGCAATAAATCAATTTGTTATCCTTACTTGTATACTTTATTGAAAATAATATTCCAGATAAAACTTCTTTTTACATTTTTCTATTGAAGGTAGAGTTTTTAGCATTTGACATTATAAAAATTAGACTAATTTATAGCAAAAAGAATGTTCACAGGAATTCAACACAAAAGGTCTTTATTTCAAAGAACGACAAGTTGAAATACTGAATTAATAACAATAATGAAAAACAACACTCACTACACTAAGTAACATAAAAATTTAAATATTTAAAGATCATTAGCTATTTTAGGTAGTAAATTCAACTAAATGTTTTACAGGATATTTAACACTAATACAAAATATCATTTCTACTTATTTTTAATACAGATATTCATAATATATTGTTTTCATATAAACACAAACTCACAAGCTTTCTTTCCCATGCTAAAAGTAGCTTTTAAAAGCTGATTTCTTGTCAGATATTTCACATTCAACAGTAGTTAACTGGTTCAGAAAGTACTACTCTATAGCACACAGCTAATGCAGAACCCCCTCCTTGAGTAGTTTCTGGATGGGTGTTTTAACCCAGTCCATATTCTTTGCTTTGTATTCAATGCACTTGTAAAAGTGTGTTAGAGTGAGTTCGTATAATAGTTGGTATTCCTTTTGTCCATTTGAACATTATCCAGAATGTATGATGTCCTGGAGTATTTCGCTACCAAACATCACGTTACGCTATCTACAAGTGACTGTTTCTCATGATAACTGTAGAGTGAGTTCGTATAATAGTTGGTATTCCTTCACGCATGTAAGTGAAACCTTTTGTTCATTTCAACATTATCCAGAATGTATGATGTCCTGGAGTATTTCGCTACCAAACATCACATTACGCTATCTACAAGTGACTGTTTCTCATGATAACTGAAAGCATGGTATACAGTTTCTGAAACCCTTAGAAATATTTTTTTTTCAAATATATTGATATTCATAATATACTTATATAGTCATAACTCTCCTGACTTATATTTTTATTCTTTAAATTTTAGCTTTGTTTGTTTGTTGTTAGGCACAAAGTTACACAATGGGCTATCTGCGCAGTGCCTACCACAGATTTTTAGCATTATAAACTTTTAGACATACCGCTGAGCCACTGGAAAGCTCAAAGTTTAGCAAAATCAGTCATTGTGTAATTAAAATGTTGGATGTAACTTACAACTGTTGAGAATTGGTAGTTAAAATATAATGATGCTGTGAGATTCCAAATTCTATTTATATTTGGTTATTGTTCATTTATTATTCCTTCTATTGTTTAGTTTAGCTTTGAATTTTTAGTTACATTAAAACACTAACTCACCTTCTGGCTGATCACATATATTTTGAGTAAATATGTGTGTATTGTGAAACTGACAACAGCTTCCCTAGCAGTGATGTACAGATATTATTAATGATGGAAAATATTATGTACATTTATGATCACATGAGATTTACTTTTGTGACCTAGCAGAGTGAATAAATACTCTGCCATAAGCTACATAAACTAAGTCACAAAGTTAGTGAATGATATAACTAGTGAATTATTGCTGTTTGTCACTTGATATTGTTATTAATATAGAAAAATGATTTTGGAATATTGTGTTTTTTTCTTTTTGGAATTAGGTTTTCCTTCTTCTGTTGTTTTTGTTTTCCTGATTCCATTATTTGAAATAATTATATTTCATATTTATACTTTATTGCATTAACATTAATATCAAGTTCTGGCCAGGCATGTATCAATTATCTGTGTTTTGGGGAAATGCTAAATTTTACTCCAAGTGTTGTTGCAGTTTGATAAATTGTGTTTTGTTGAACCCTGGTTATAGTGATGTGTTATTTTAGACCATTACAACACAACTATTATGTAACATATATATATGTGTGTATCTTAGTTTGTCATTCACAACAAACAGCTCACAAATCCTTGTGATCAAATAAAGCTATATAAAAAGCATTTCTTTATTTGTTGTGAAGTAGGACCTACCTTGCTGAATACCTTTAACACTGCATTTCCTTTATTTGTTGTGAACAGCAAGGTAGGTCCTACAATACCTTTAACACTGCATTTCCTTATTTGTTGTAGGACCTACCTTGATGTTCACAATACCTTTAACATTTATCACTTTGGAATTACAACAAAACATGTGGTAAATGTAAGTTCTTCTGCTCCTATGAAACATAGACAGAATGAAAAAATTATAGCTTATAAAATAATCTTATCACAACTTATGTGGAAAATTATTACAGTTAGAGTTTCTAACGTCTTTACTAAAGTCATTTTCTCTACCTTGAATTTTCCATTATGTCTAAAGTAACAGACATTCTCTCCTATATTACAGTCTCATAGCTGGATGCTACTATTAGATTTCCTCTATTGTCACTGATGATGGAGTTTTACATGACTGGCTTGGAATGTTTTCTGTATCATCAACTTCTGTTATAATAGGCCGAGATTTTATATTTTCTATGTTTTCACTATTACTACCTGATAGAACAGGTGTGATAGTGACCCCACTAGGAAAAATTGCTTGAGGCACTCGAGCAGTGCCGACTTGTGTGAACCTCCACTGAACATCTGGGTCATGAACAAATGTAGGAAAGTTCCTGTTTGGGACTTTACTAGGAGGATAATGATCCTGGGTGTTTGGGTTAGAATAACCTTGCTGTTTCTGGAGGAACTGATAACTTGAATTAGGAAAGCCAGAAAGCTTTCTCTGGTAAACTTGTTGGAACTGCTGATTTTGTCGAACTACAGGTGTTTGGTTCTGCAGAAATGAAAATGTTAATAAGTTATTAGAGCTATTACAATTATTGTTCAATAATCTGATAAAAACATATAGATAGTTTCACAATAAACAGAATATAAAAATTTAAATCAAGTGCTCTATAAAATCATTGTCGAACTACAAACATGATAAATACAAAATGAACATCTAGATATTTTTGTTTTCTAGTTTTGACACTATTATATAATACTAGCATAGACCCACAAAACATTTCCAGTCAAATTAGTATCTTTGTTTGCAATAGTACTTCTTTAAATACAGGATTTCTAGAATAATATGAAAGAATTCTAATTACAGACACCAAAATCTACAAGTCCACTTGCCTTAGGCATAAGCATTAGTTAAGTACAGGCTATATTTGATAGAGAGATAAAGTAACATTGTGTATGTTTTAGTTTAGTTAAGGCTAAACTTTGCTGTACTTAACATAAGCATTAGTTAAGTACAGGCTATATTTGATAGAGAGATAAAGTAACATTGTGTATGTTTTAGTTTAGTTAAGGCTAAACTTTGCTGTACTTAACATTATCAATAAAAAAAATCTTTGATAAGCTTTTAATATGTTGTTGTACAAAATGTCTACAAAGTATATTTACATCCACCTTTTATTTACGTCCATTGAAATAAAGTGCTCATGCATGCACATTTATATAGTAATAAAGATACCTAATAAAAAGTATATTTTTTATGTTTTGAAGCTTCATCAAAACATTTTATATGCATAATGAAATGATCTATTGAAAGCAATGTTTTAAATATAATCCACAAACAAATTATTTCATTAGGATAAAATTATCATAAGAAAGTCAGCAAGTTTTATTTTTACCTGCCAATAATGTTCATAAATGTTAAAAGCATGAATTTTTCTTCCAGTACTTTGAATTTTTTCTGCCAGATCATATGGTATTGGCTGTTGGGTGGTAACAAACTGAAAAAATTCATTGTAAGGACAAATTATAATAAATACAATAATCAATAACATTAAAAATATTTCCTAAAATATCTCCATAGACAACTACAATTTGTATTTTTTCTCTGGTTCAATTACATTTAATTACATGAACAATAAAAAAATAAATTCCAGAAGGTTATGATATCTTGAAAATTTACATTTTCCTTAACTCAAAATGTATTTCCAATAGATACTCAACTCCACACACAGATTAGTTATTTTCCTCTTAAAGTTGTGCTAATCTGTCTGAGAAACATGCATGCCACCAGCCTTGTGAAAACTGCCATCTCAAATCATGTGAAAAATATGAATTGGCTCTACTGCATGATGATGTGTCATGCAGCAAAACTTTCCACCAATAGGAGTGCAACACATCTCCTTGCACAAATATTCCCTCTACATTCTTGCATGATGAGACAACCAATAAAAGTGCACAGTTAAAGAAAATATTAACTTCTGATATGATCACTCACCTCTGTACATAAATTACCTAGAATCCCATGTTGAGATGGCAGAGGAACTGGTGAAAAAGTTACCTAGATGAGCCTCTTTCCAAGAACGTTAAAAGAAAGCCCATGGAGTGCAAAAACTATGATAGAGGCTCCATAAGGGAACACCCATGGAAGACCACATCTCATACAGGGTATACTCTTTGCCAGAGTGAAGGATAGGGAGAGGCAAGAGAACTGAAAGGTATTGCAAAGATGGGCAGAACAGGAACTTGACCATCAGAGAGCTTGCACATAAGCCATTGGATGGCCAATATATGTAGTGAGATTGGTTCATGTTCAGACTGTACCATGTGTGCTGACTTTTCAACCATCAGTTTCTACAGCTGTGGGAGAAGGGTATATGCCAAACTATCCATGCACAACTCCTCAGCTGTCAGACGCTAAAGGCCCATGATAGTAATGAGAGTAGAGCACCACAGTGGGCATAACTAATAAGGATACTTATGAAACCCTCACTCAACCATCACTCTATGGGCCTTTTGCTAGATGTGGGAGTAGGGTTAATGAGCAATAAATCGTAGTTAAGATATTAAGAAATATCATTTACTCCACAAGTGGGATCATGAATATGCAGGAGAAGGTAAAGGAGAAACAGAATAAGGGAGGTACGTGTCTGAAATCCACTCGGATATGTGTCTAGGTAACATTGGGGGGGGGGGGGATCCGATGCTACATTTTGGAAACAACTCTGCCCACATCCCAGCATACAGGGACGCCTTGTTTTAGCACCAGCTATTAGGTCCCAATTAGTGAAGATTCTCCATAGTTCACCACCCCAGCAGTTGGGAGCTCTGCCCACATCCCAGCATACAGGGACCCCTTGTTTTAGCACCAGCTGTTAGGTCCCAATTAGTGAAGATTCTCCATAGTTCACCACCCCAGCAGCTGG